ACCTTGACACTGATGGCATTCTGGGCCAGGTAATTGTTTGTGGGCAGGGTGGCTGTCCTTTGCTTTGTGGGATGTTTAGTGGTGTCCCTGACATCGACACACTGGGTACAATAGTACTTCCCTTTTCTCCAAGTTGTGACAATCAAAAATGTCCCTAGACTTTGCCAAATGCCCCCTGCTGAGAACCGCTGCCTGTTTTCTGATCACCGTCCACAACATATTCTCTGTTCCTTAGTTGGATGCCGGGCCAAAGCAAACAGCCCCTCATAAGAGCCTGGGGATCCCACTGTGAGGTGAACACTCAGCCAGTGTTTCCTGGGAGAAGTCAGTCCTGTTACTGATGGCTACAGGACTCAGTCCAGTACCGTCCTCTCCCCCTTACTTTTCAATTCCAGCATAAAAACACCCTACGGAACCTCTATTTCTCTGGTTTAGAGTGAAGATTCTGTTCCCTCCTGTAGGGCAGGGCTTGGTTTGGGGGTTGGAGGAGCACACACTTAGCTGTCTGAGGAGGGCCAAGGTGAAATGACAAGTGATACACAGGTGGACAAGGAGAAGCTTTATTTTCCCCAGGGTCAGACACAGGCCCTGACAAGTATCCGCAGGTGCAGGGCGTGGAGGAAACTGTGAGATCCCGGACATCAGCCAGGAGGAGCCTTCCAGGGAGAGCTCAGACTCTCCACAGGCACAGGCACGCACTCAGCTCAGTGGGAAAGGTTGTGTCAGGCTAGGGTGGTCCTTGGAACTCTGGGTCTTTGTTTCTTTAGCAATTGCTGGTCTCGTCCACACTGCCCAGGTCAGCAGCAGCCCCCAGAGCTGTGGCCACAGTGGGAGCCCCTGGACTGCTGACCACGGCCATCGTCACTGCAGTCGGAGCTCTGGCGTCGGCATCGGTGGGACCTGCGGTGCCTGTGGGGGCTCAGGCAGCAGCCTCCCTCAGAGCCGGGTCCATGGCAGCCCCCGGAGCTGGGAGCACAGCCGGAGGAGACTGGAGGCCAGCACTGTGCGGGGCTCTTTTGGGGGCACTTGGGTGAGGGGCACTTGGGAGGGGGCTGGCACTGCTGCTGGTTCTGCTGGCCGGACATCTCGGCTGGAGTTGAGTCACCCTGAACAAAACAAAAGCAACTTGTCGGTTCCAAATCTACAGTCCAATGTCGCCTCTCATGATTTCCAAGACCCCTCTCTTCTAAGACCAGCTGCTTCTGCAACCAAGAGCTGAAGGAGGAAAGGAAACTGATTTGGAGTGAGTGTGAGCACACAAGATGCCTCCCCCACTTTGCTGTCCACCAGGAAAGATGCCGTCGGTCTAACCAAACATCCACTTTTTTTGTGTCTCAGAGGAAACTTTTAGGGAATGCACCCACTTAGGGAAAGCATTCTGGAGGCTGTCAAAGCACATGTGTGCACATGTGAGAGCATGAATTAATGGGATGGGAGGGACCCTGGAGTTCCTGAGGCCTTAGCAGGTTACAGAGTCCCCTCTTATCCCCCAGGGACCACTTCCTCACCCTCACTTCCTCCATTGCTGGCCTCTGTGGCCCTGTTTCTGCCATTTCCACCCCAGACTTCTCTGTTTCCCTCCCTCTGCTATGACCTGAGCACTCAGCTGGAGTCTTGTCCCCTGCTGGACACTCACCAGATGCAGAGGAAGCAGGAGACACTGTTCGTGAGGAGGCTGTGGATGAGGAGCTCAGGGCAGGATCCCTTTTATCCTGTCCTGGTCTGTGATGCACAGCCTGGGTATGCTGCTGCTTTC